AAAAAACACCTCTCCTTCTTGTCAAATATCCACTTAGGCCTATTCAGTTACTTTAAATTTCAGTTGACAGGCCGAACTATCTTTTCTATTTCTATCGCATTAGTATTCTCTGTGAGTGTGATTCACTTACATTGAAAGTTACAATTGTGGCGCGAGTTACCGTAATCGTTTGGTCTTCTTTCTTCTGAAGATCCTCTGTTCCTTTTGTCAAAGTGCACTCAGGCTGATTAGGTATATCACATCTGCGGTACTTAACTTCACGTCAACTTTATTGTCTGTCTGTTGCTTCCCGCTCATCTCACGCTATTTATATCATTATCAATTACTCGTCTGCCCGCCTTCTATATTCTCGACTTCAGTGAATTATTAACAAAACTTCCCGCATTCGTCTGCTTTTAACTCTTATTATAACAAAAACTAAACAATAATAAAATATTCATTCACGAAAATAAATTAATCACTAATATCTAAGCCAAACAGCCTTTTATATCGTGACAAACTGCGACTTCTGAAAAAGCTTGTGTATGAAACTAAACCATTCTAACAAACTTAACGATTCCCTTTTTTTGTGAAACGAATACGTTTCTTGTTGTACAGGCCCATACTTTGTGAATAATCTATTGACAGTTTTTGGGATAAGGCGGAATCTTTGAAAAATATGGGGTCCATGGGGGGGATATAATAATAATAAAGGGGGTCCTTGGTGGTGAAAAGGTTGGTAACCATTGAACTATACGCTCTTATCATAATAACGCGCGAAATCATGCCAGTAGTATTTTGATGGAAATAATGTACAGAAACTAGGAGTTTGGATCTTAATGCAACTGAATCATCGGGGATGATTAAGTATGCCGTTAAAGAGGCAAAAGTTTGTTTGTTTTGAATTTCGCACAAAGCTACGCGAGGACTGTCTGCACTAGCCGTCCCTAATTTAGCAGCGAAAGCCCCCCCCCAGTGGCACAGCGGTATGTCTGCGGACTTACAACGCTAGAATCCGGGTTTCGATACCTGTGGTGGGCAGAGCACTGATAGCCTATTGTGTAGCATTGTGCTTAACTTCAAACAAACAAACAGACTAGGGAAAATGCAGCTAGTCAACACCACTCACCATCAACTCTTGGGCTACTCTTTGACCAACGAAAAGAAGGATTGCCCGTCACATTATAAAAACCCCGCGACTGTAAGGGCGAGCATGTTTGTTGGGACGGCGATTCGAACCCGCAGACGTTTCTTATTACATTTTTCTTAGTTTTTTCCATAACGGAATTGCAAATCAGGGGTTAAGTGCGACTGGAAATTTTTTATTTTTTACTTTTCTTCTCTTTTGTCTTGATCTTTCTTAGCTCTTCATGCACTTAAATACAGAATAGTTCTAGGTGGTGATGCTCGACTTTGTAGTTTTAACACAGTACTTGTAGTTAGTCTATTATGGTAGACCTCCTACCAATTCTTCCAAAACCACGCTACATCCCACATTATAATTTGAACCTTGATTTTGCATGTTTATTTCTTGCAGCTGCTTTCCTGCCTTGGCCCGACTTTTAGTAAATACTCATCACGAATGGTTGGCTTTGCCAGATTTTCTTGTTTTTGTTTTTTTCTCGTCGCTATAATTCTATTAGAATTAACAACTCCATGATACAAAGTAACTAGACATTGGACTTCTGGGTCGAATGACACTATATTTTACTAATAAACGCTTGTAGTTACATTGACACTGGGTAATTTAGTGGAACAAGAACACAATTTACACTTACGGAAAACAAGGGTTTATTTTAAGACGTTTACACAAATCAACACTGCGATATCCTTACTAAATAATACGTAATTCTAAGTAATTATTACAATTAATGATGCACTGCACAAAACATTGGTATGTTTATTGAATCCTCTTATTTTGCATCATATTTTTATCCAGTAATAATGTTATTTTGGCAGTAGTGGTGAAAGTTCATATATGGTGACTTTTAGGCTTATTTTATTAAGAAGTTCATACACATAGAAATATTTTTAGTTCATGCCATCGAATCGTTATTTTTCTCATCAATGACGATAATTATAAAAATTATGTATATAGTTATCTACATTTCGTTACCTAAAACAGAACATCATGACATTTTAATAACGTAGATATGGAACGGTTTTAGTTCTGCAGCGTTACAACAACACTGTTCTGTTGTAATATAACTAGATCTGTAGCAGTACAACAACACTAGTTGTGCAGCATTAAAACGATTCTAGTTTTACAGCAATGCAACAATACTAGTTATGCAGCATTACAACAATAATGTTCTATATAATATAACAACATTAGATCTGGGGAAGTTCAACAACACTAGTTCTGCAGCATTACAGCAATTTTAGTTCTACCACAACACAACAATATTACATCTGCGACAATACAACAATATTTCCGATACAACCCTCAACGCACAACAGAGAAACTGAACTTAAGATTGTATAAAAAATATCCATCATTACAAATAATTTTATATAAAAGTACATACAATTTTTTGTAATGATGATCGTTTTTGTAAGTTGAAACTTCTCTGCGCCGATAAAATCGAGTTTTATCACATTCGTTAACATTTTAGCTCGTGATATATAACATACACACACACATATATATATTTATATGTGACTAAGTTTCCAATAGGTAGTTCTTATAAATATAATGAAAACGTTTGGTAATATATCATTTATCTTTCATCTTCATTATATATTAACTAAATTAGACAATATAAATGTAACTTCATAATCATGAATATTTCAGTGTTTTCAAGACATGGCTTTCGTTTATCACGTGCATTTTTCAGTTATAGTCTGATGAGACATATATCGATCCATCTTGCTAACATTTAACAAACACATTGTTTATCCGGTGATGCCAGCAGCTTTGTATTCAGATATCATAATGTACACTGCTAAATCGAACGAGTATTTATTAGTATGAGATATTGAGAACACTCAACACTAGAATGGAAAGCCAGGTGTTATATTTTATTTCAGAATTTAATATTACACTGAATTATTCTTTCATCTGTTAGTATTTACAAAAATAAGAACTTAAAACAAATTTGAACGTCGAGATGAGGAAGATACAAAAAAACCAACAACTCTAAGCAGGCTTATGACCTCACTAACACAAAAAGGAAAAATCATTATACCTCATATTTGAACAGTTTTTAACGTAGTTTGGTTCGAAAAATTCATCCAGCACGCGGTATGTCTCGTGTACTAGCTGTCACTAGCAGGATTGGATGCATAACACCCATTCAGCACGCGGTATGTCTCGTGTACTAGCTGTCACTAGCAGGATTTGATGCACAACACCCACTCAGCACTCGGTTATATCTCCTGTGCTGGCTTTGACTAGCAGGATTTGATTCATAACACCCAGTCAGCATGTGGTTATATCTCGTGTGCTGGCTTTGACTAGCAGGATTTGATTCATAACACCCAGTCAGCATGTGGTTATATCTCGTGTGCTGGCTTTGACTAGCAGGATTTGATTCATAACACCCAGTCAGCATGTGGTTATATCTCGTGTGCTGGCTTTGACTAGCAGGAGTTGATTCATAACACCCAGTCAGCACGTGGTTATATCTCGTGTGCTGGCTTTGACTAGCAGGAGTTGATTCATAACACCCAGTCAGCACGTGGTTATATCTCCTGTGCTGGCTTTGACTAGCAGGATTTGATTCATATAATTCATATAGCACGCGGTTATGCCTCGCGTATTGGTTTTGACTAGTAGGATTTGATTCATAACACCCACTCAGCACCCGGTTATATCACGTGTGCAGCCTTTGACTAGCGTGAAGTAAGAAGTTTCGAACGATGTTTTTTTCCGTCTTAATCTGAACAAGGTATAACAAAATGTGAGAGAGACGAGAGATGATAATCATATGAGAAGTAGCTGGTTTGTTATAGTAATTTTTCTCATCACATATCGCTTGGTCTTTATAAAGATGGCAAAAAACAAGCAAAAAGTATCAAATATTTTATAACACTTTCCATATATGGAATAAACATTTCCTAGAAAGCTTAGCTAAATATTCCTCAAATAAATCCCTTTGGTTCGGGGTAGGGAATAGTTCGTCTTCTCCATACTGTATCCAAAGTCTTAAATTCTCACCAGAATAATTTCATCAATAAAAGAAGCCATATGTAGTTTATCTCCTAAGATCTGTAATAAGTTCAGAGAAATATGTTTTAAACTGATTTTTTGGAGGGAGGGGGGTATTGACACATTTTCAGGTTATTTGGGAGGGGAGATTGTGATACAATTTTCAGGTTAATCCAACATATCTAGTTTTCAGAAAATAACGAATGAGGTAAATTCAATATAATTTAAAAAATAATACTGTCAGTAATTAATAAACTGAAAGTATCAGTTACAATTCCATTTTTTATATATAACATTAGTGTGACGGAGGTCACTATGAAGAATGTGATGTGTGAAATGTCGATGCAACAGATCTATAAAGATGAATAAAATACACAAAACAAGCAGTACTGACTCTTTCATGTAAACCTAAAGAATGCGTGTTCAAGATAGATGGTAACAATAAAATATACAGAACAAGCAGTACTGACATTCTTTAGGGTTACATGAAAGTGTGTTCAAGATAGATGATAACAATAAAATATAGAGAACAAGAAGTACTGACTCTTTCATGTAAACCTAAAGAATGCGTGTTCAAGATAGATGGTAACAATAAAATATACAGAACAAGCAGTACTGACTCTTTCATGTAAACCTGAAGAAAGCGTATTCACTACAAATTGTACTGCAAAGTTATAGATAATGATTCTGTCTACGATTCTTGAAAAAATAGAACAAAGAACAACAACGCAAAGCATATAATTATTAGCTGATTACAGTTCTTTCTATAAATAAGTAAAATTATTATTAAAATAAGAAACAACAATGTCTGATACATTTTTCTTTAAAGATTTAATAAAAAAAAGGAAAGAGCAGTTATTTTGATGATAGGATCTTGTGACAGTCTGTATCCTTCATTGTAGAAACGAGTATAAGGAAACTAGTTTCCTACTTCTTATTTTTTATTCTTAAATTGCTGACGATTAAGAAGTTCTTCTGAACGCAGTCAAAGTTATTCACTTGCAACACCGAACGTTAGTTGTAATATAATGTACGTTTTGCTTCATTTTATCTTCTAAAATATACGAACTACTTAAATCTATTTCAGTTCAGAAAAAGCTTAAGTTTTTGTAGAATAACTTGAAACACATTTATTAAAAAAAAGCGTTTAACCTTTAAGTATGACGAGGTGTCGCTTAGCTTCGTTTTAGATTTGGATTTCTTGGTTACATGAATATGAATAATTGAACATAAATCTAATAATTTTGCTACATGTCAATGTATATAATGTGGGACTAACGTCTCAAGAGAATATATTTTATGATGTATCACGTGACGTAGAAAAAAATCGGTTTTATAAGAGAATGATTTCAGACTTTGTGAAAAGGCACCATGAATCCCCACCTGCTAAAGGAAAATATCCAGGTTCCTAAAAGGTATGAAAGTTTGGAATAAAATCGATTTTTTTATGGTGACGATTACGTTGTTCCTTGTGAAATTATTATTATTATTTGGTTTGAAATTTCACTTTTACTACATGTGCAGCATTACCTCTAGCTATCTTCAAGTGCAACGTCCCTAGTCTTTCTTATGCATTTTAGTAAAAAAACATCAAACGTTTATAAAGATATTACAGGAACTTCTACACAAATTTGATTGTATTTTGACGCTCGTCCACAAGCACAGGTTTTTTCAGTGTTCCGTCTTTCTTCTTGCACTTTGGAATAGAAGCTGACCAACGTCCGGTCTCTAAGCACTTTAGCATCAGTCTTCCCTTCATTCGATATCCTTCTACACACTTAAAAGTCACCGTTTCATTAACTTTATAATGAAACTTAACGTTGGAAATAGCACCACCTGGCGTCCGTCCTGGATAAGTACACGCTGGCACACCTGTTCAAAACAGATAAACTTTAAATGATGTAAACATGAATATTTTAGTTAAAATAATGTCAAAGACAATGTTTCCATTATTGGGGTGAATCTTGATGCACGTTCTCTAAGCGAGCAGATTGGTGAAAGACAATCACAGTGTTCACTTCTCAATTAGTTTTGTTTTTGTGGCAAAGTTATGAAGGCTACCAACCGTTGTTTATAATTTTAAAATGCTGACCAAAGGAAAGTTAGCCTGTCAACAAAAACATATTACCAATCATCCACGTTAAGAGATTGACTAATAATTTAATAACAAATGTTTTTCCAGATCCGAAATCAAGAGCAGGGCGAACTCACGGCCTCTGAATTGTATAACTATTAGTTAAGCGAGTTCTGCGTAATGATATACTTGTAAATATCTAGCATAAAAAGCTGTCGTTTAAACAACAGGGATTTGTCACTGTGTCTAACAAATATCATGAAAATCAACAGTGATGTGTATAGAGCGGGTGAGAGTGCCTGAGTGCGTTCAAGTCTCTATCTACTCTTATGCCTCAAAAGTGCCACTTTTCTACAGTCATAAAAAGAATGTCAACAGCTACTAACAGACATGCCTGATTCTACACCTTTCACGCTGGGAGCTATTGGGGGGAGAGTGGGGGAAAGAGATATCTGGTATAAAATGAATGACACACAGAGTTTTGTTGGTCTTAACATTTAAAAATAAAAATAATTATGGTAAGTTATTACATGTTAATATATAGCAATTCACGGTTTAATTTTATATTGTTAAATGTTTTTAAGTCCTACTTAATTGGATCTGTTTGCTTGTTATGTATACCAAGGGCAACGCATCGTCCTCCCCCCCCCCCGAATGTTTACCTATCGGTATGACAAACTTTAAATCAGATAAATGTCATAGCTGAAACTTATGCACGCCCATACGTAATTCTGAACGAGTATTCCTCAGCAAGAACCGTTTTATTCAATACGGAAAAGGGGGAGTTGCCCAGGGCACACCGCGCATTGCTAGTATAATAATAAAAATAAAATATGAAGTGTATAATGAAATAATAATAATAATAAACCAGTTTTGTATTTTATCGCTTTTCCCATATTTTATCTGGTTGAATCTGGTTATAGTCGGATGACTTATTTTCTATCATAAATACGTAACCTCTTGATGCTGTGAAGAGAGGTGATCTTCGCTTATCACTGATCAAACTGCAACCGTACATTCGAAAACTTTCAAATGTTCATCAGGCCCAAGGATCACACTGAATAAAATGTCAATGATCAACAGAATATTTTTTACTTGTATAAGTAAACAGTATGTTATAAACAAAATATTTAAAAACAGTACAATATTGTAAAAACAATGTTATAATATTATAAATATATTATAAATCAACAGTGTGGAAATAAAGTAACTTTCTCCTAAGTAACAGCGTCTACGAAGGGTGAGGCCACAGAGATAAATCAAACTCACAAGGGAACCGCGAGCA